TGGCGCACAGGAAAATGGATTTAAGATGACCCCCAATAATTAGATTCTACTACACCTGGCAAACTGACATATTTACGCATTTTCCATATATAGAATCTAACTATGGGGGGGGGGGGTCATCTTGGCTTAAGGTAAATATGGTACCTTAGTTAAAATTGCTTTAAGTCTACTTGCTCTGTCTGATGTGGGTGCAGCAAAAGAATGCTTAAGTAAAAGACTGGTATTTCATCTACCTGTGAAATGAATCCCAGGACAAGTTTCTTTTTGCTAACACTTGATAGACATCCATTAAAATGTCTTAAACATATCTGTGAAGTTCTCTGTAACCAACACACTACATTAAAAAGTAATGTCTCTCTAAACCAGCATACATCAGTCTGGAGGAAGAAATAAGGCTTGACTAATCTAAACAGAAAAAGAAGTTAGAAAAGCAGGCAGCCAACTGATATTGAAGTCTGTGCATTTAACTAAAATTTGTTTAAAATTATAATGTTCTTATTCCAAAGTAAAGAAAGATGAAGATAAGGAAGCCTTCAGGTTCCTGTATATATCCAAACTACATCTTATCATGGTGATCTGAGTCTCTGCTGGCCCAACATTACCAAGGAGACATGGTAGATTATGCACCTTTATCAACTAACTAATATCTATGGTATATATATTACATTATATAGCTTTAAAGCCTAACTTTAGAAAAAGATGCAACAAGTGATGGAGAAGGGGAAGAACTCATACATAAACAGCTGTTGTCTCACCTTTAAGCATTATGGAAGAATTGAGCCTTTAAAGAGATAGAAATAAATTAAGTCAGCTTTGCGGCTGGAGTTTGGAGGGCATTTTGAACCCAGGGGCGAAATAAAAAAAAGAATGAAAATGATTACGGCTGGTTTAGTGGTTAGCATGGTTGGGAGAAGTAGATAGCTGTGGTTATCTGAAGTCTGAAGGCAGGATAGACATGCACCTTTACAGACTAAAGTAAGATACATATGTCACAAGCTTTCACAAATCAAGTTCATTTCATCTTCCCTCAGCTGCTAAGTAGTTTAAATTATGTGGAGGTTCAATGCATATGTTTTAATAGAGCTGTGTACCTTGCAAGAGCTACAGGGAAGTTACCACAGAAGGAGACAAGACAGCAGAAATCCCAGGACACAGCCTGGACAAACACTTGGAAGTATGGCCCTGAAAAAAACCTAGAGAAAGCTTGTGGGCAAACACTGGTTGAAAGAATTTAGAACTGCAAGCAAAGACACTAGACCTAATTTTGTCCTACGTTCAGGAAAAGAAACTTATGTTTATAAAAACAAGACTGCAGACACCTGACTCCATCACCAATTTAGTTACCTAGTCAAGTCAAAAGGGGTGGTAATTGTGCCAAACTCACTCTTCTTTTCAACAAGAAACAAACATGCTCAGTACATGAAACAAATACTCATACTGAGATCAGCAGACGAGGGATGGAGGGGAGACAAAGTTCTCTCAATCTGAACAACAAACCATCTACTTATCACTCCTTTGGGGTAGTTTCTTCCTTGTGAGAAACCATCACAAAAACTTGAGGGATCTGAAGGCTAAGACACATGACTCCCTGACTGGTTTAAATCATTCTGTGCATAATGGATGCAATACAATATATACCAGAAGCTATACAAAATAAAAACTGTATCCCTAGTGCCGGGAGTGAGCTTTCTTTGCATCTGGCCTGATGTGAAGCACTGCTGCTTTATGATTTCTCAGAAGTGCACATATTCAAAACTAGTACTCACTCTTAGTGGACTAGGAATTTCAATGCCCATTTCTTTTTAAACTGAATCCCTGACAAGTCTGCCCAACATCTATTAGAGAGAGCCTACTCAGCTATAAGGGTGCCTATAGACATGTACGTGGGGATGGTGCTCTGGTTACACTGAGTCTGCTGGAGTGTGCTAATTGGTGCACTCCAGCAACCTCCACATCTTGTGTATTCAGGGTCCCTGCACTTAAAAATGCTGGTGGGGATGCTTTAACTAAAACTCATTTCCTGCCGCTAGTTTGAAGCGCAGGGATACCGAAAACACAACACACTATGAGCGCTTTAACTATAGCTGTTCTTGGAGCCACTTTAATTAAAATGCCCTCGGTTCCCACCTTTGGAGCACATGTAAAAGACACTCTAACCATGTAATTGACCTACCTTCCCTTATACCTCTTACTTGGATCCAGATCATTAGTATTTTCTAGTAAAGGAGAATTAAAAAAAAAAATCCTCAAAACTGCAACACTAGAGACAGATACTGGATTTACCAAAGTTAATTTGTGGATAATTTTTTTCCCCTCAGTGACAATAAGATTTAGTGCTGTAAGCTCAATACTCCTGCCTGCCTCCATTGGTACTGAATTAGTAATTGAAAACAGCAGTTTCTATACAAAACCATATACGGAAACAGTCATTTGGAAACAACGAACCCTTTCCCAAAGGCAATAAAGAGGAGATACCATACTGCTTTAGATGTTGGAGGAAGACAAGCCCCTTCACAACAATTGGGTGCTATTTTATAGAAGTGGCTGGAGGTTTCCCATGACCACAAAATAATCTACGTATAAATACCAGACAGGAGCAGTGAGCAGTTTCAGTCTCTCCTGACACTTCCAAGAGTTAAGTTGCAACTGTGGCCCTTTCAGAGCAGTTGTATATACAGTCACAAATAGAACTTTGTTAGACAAGTAAAATCTGCTCAATTTCCTCACAATGCAAGTTTTTATTTTGCCTTGCATCAAGTACTTGCATTAAACTCAAACTGCAGTTCCATAGCATTATATGCAGCACATATCAATAATCTTTATATTAGCTATACTACTTACAGGTTCTATGATTATATGTATTACAATAAGACAGACAATACATTTGCACAGGTATTTTATTTTTCCTGTGGATGTTGACAGTGCTTATGGATTGTAATTTAAAACATTCAGAAAGCACAGATCATATCAATCTCACATACTTTACATCACAATTCAACAATGTTTACACCTTTGTATCTACTAAATCAAGTGAACAAAATGGCATAAATGTTTACACTATCTTTCTCTGTAAACAAGGCTTTTTATGAACAATGGTAAATGGAATTAATACAGATCACCATACGAAAGAGGAATGACCCTTTTCTTTAAATAAATGCCTCTGTTTATATAAATACTCTGATTCTCTCAATATACATTTACAGCCCTGATCAATTAAAAGCAATACCTATACTTTTCTTTAAAAGAAAATGTCAAGAGATGGACCACTATAGGAAATATTCATCTGTCAAGGGAAAATGAAGCAAGCATAGGATTAAGAGAGTTTGAAGTACAAGGATACTTCTATCTCACTTCTGTTTACACCAACACTATGGACAGAATTGTCAGGGTATGGAACCGTTTACTTGAATTCCAACAAATTGCAATCAATCTTGTAGTACACGTATGGGTAGTATTCCTGTTGACTGAGGTTTAAGCCTGGAATATCCATAGTTGCCTGTGGAATATATTTAAAAAAGAAAAAAAGGGGGAGAGGGAGAGATTACTAAACTTTTACAATATAACTGACCAGTTTCTCAGATGACATGTTCAAACAAACATTTAAGGTGCATTAATCTCATGTAGTACCTCAAATTTTATTCATGCTGATTTGAATTTTAAAACCTTTGACGAAGATTACAGAGCTAGAAAGCATAATGGGAAAAAAAGTAATTCAGTTATCATATCAAAACTTCCTAAAATGAAAAGTCAGTGTCACAACCCAAAGTTGTGATTTTTGTTTTGTGTGTGCTTTGGCACTGCTAAATTATTTTCCACCAAATTTGTAGCTTTCTTTGCAGTGTGCATTTCTTTTGCATCTGAGAAATGCTCGTTGCAAAGAGTTCCCGCCATTTGTATTAGAATTTGAGCCACATTATTGGCTAGTTCTAAATTATGCACACGTGGCGGCTAGTGATTGGCTTGCTAGTTGTATAAAGAGCTTGGGTGGTTTCCGCCCAAGTCGGAGTTCAAGAGAGAAAGAGAAAAACCTTTGCCTTGCGTGAAGATCTCTAAGCGCTGCGGATCTTTACGGACCCAACGCATTTCTTAAAAGGCAACAGGGGCCTGATCAGCCTCTGGCCTCTCCCCGTCGCCGATAAATTCCTAGACGTATCCCTCCCTGCGCGCAAAAGAGACGGACCCACGGAGCTTCAACAACTCCGTGGGAGACAGCGAGCTTGTCGTAGTCCTCAAACGAGGATTTAATCGGAGCTGTGCCTGGAAAACTGTCCAGCCTACACCG